TAGGTTGGAGGCCATCGCTAGCAGGTTTGAGGCCATTGCTAGTGGGTGGAAGCCATCAGAACTAGTAGGTTGGAGGCCATCGCTAGTAGGGTGGAAGCCATCACTAGAAGGTAGGAGGCCATCGCTAGTAGGTTGGAGGCCCGCGCTACGGCCAGGAAGTTTAGACCGGGTACATCTCCGGCGGGGGCCTCGCTTGTAACGCGGCTTTCTTGAACTTATTTACTCATACACTCTTGCAACAACCCGCTTACCGTACCTTTTGTGGAACGGTTAAGCTTTTTGTTGTGAAGAGAATGAGGCTGCCTGCACTTCTCCCGGAAGCGAGTCGTTGAGGTCTGTGCTTTGAGAAATATGGACCTCAAAATTTTTCTTCCAAGACCTTAGTCTTTCTCTTATCGTCTTTCATGTGTCGGAGGACTGCACGTCCTTGGACGGTTTCTTTGGCATCAGTAAAGTCATTCACCAGCGGCTCTTTGGCGGCAGATTCTTGGAGCGAACTCTTATATCGTGGCGTTGAAGAGCCCTGGAGAGTGAACTCTGAGCCGCTGAACCCACGAACCGACTTCTTGTCAAAGTCTTTGGTTTCGAAAACGAGGGCCAGTTGTGAGGAGTATCGCCTTTCCAAACGCGAAGATGACCTGCGCGCCTTCAATGGCTTATGGTCGGCCATGTCCTTTCGGCGGCCCCGTGGAATGGATGTGCTATCAGAGCGTGCCCGGGTTGCTCGAAAACCTGCGCCGCCGGTTGCTGATGGGTTTGTACAACAGGGCCCTACCAGTCAGACACCGTTCGAAATTGCTCAGCAGTCCTCGGTGCTGCAAAAACTGGACAATGAACATTTTACGCTGATCAAGCGAATTGTTGAAGCCGATGCCCTTCACTTTGTCTCCGCCGTAGCTGGACAGGTGCTGTACAGAGAGCAGGACCCAGTTGAGAACGCATATATATTGCTTTCAGGTTCAGTACAGCAATTTTCTCGCGACATGGAGTTTTTGCGGAGTATGGGCTGGCATCCACATGTGGAGCACAGTGAGTCGACAGAGGACAAAAGACTCGCAAGGCAGGCCTCTTCCAGACAATTTGGCACACCGCGAGATGAGTACAATCCAAGGGAATTTCCAACATTGACCGAGCATGTGCGGCGAAAGAGAACAAGAGATGTGGATCGTCAAAGCAGGCACATCGTGGGTTCTTCACTTTCATTGCATCAATTTTTGACAGTCTATAGTCTAGAGTCGGCCTGACTAGGGAGTATAAGGAGTGATGAAATGATTGCGAGACTGTGATACATTGCCGCAGGTTCCGAACTCTGGAGGGTCACAGCGTGTTCTGCCAGGAGAAGCGTTTCTTAAACGATAAATTAACTAATAGCTTCTTTGCTAGTAAGGCACTTGTTACTAGTAGCGATGCACTTGTTCCTAGTAGCTTCTTGTTACTATTAGTAAGGCACTTGTTACTAGCAAAGGTTTGTTCTGGAAGAATGCGGATTCTGCAAAGGTGTGATTCACATGGCAGATTTAGTTGAGAGGCCAGTTCCTTCGCCAACGTGTGGTTCTGTGCTTCAAACGTTTTGGCTCAAGGTGAAAAGGCCGTGCAAGGGTTTTTCTTCTCGGCCTTTCGCAATGGAATGAAGTCGGGCTGCGACCTCAATGAGGTTGAAGTCTTAGAGCCGCTTCTTCAGCGAGGTGGCAAGACCAATGGACGAATTCTGGCCACATGCGTGGGCTTTCTAGCAGACTCGTATGATCTATTCACAATAGACTTAGTCGTGCTGATCCTACAACTTCAATATGGTGAAGAACTCATCTCTACCGGAGCCAAATCACTCATGGTCAGCACGATGCTGGCTGGAGTGGTTGCGGGGCAACTCTTTTTTGGTCTTCTTGCAGATTGGCTTGGACGAAAGTGGGCCTTCGTTTGCACTGCAGGCCTCACCGTCCTTAGTGCCCTTGCTTGTTCAATGTGCTATGACAGTGGACTCCATGGACACTTGGGATTGCCTCTTCAACTCGCCCTGTGTCGCTTTCTTCTTGGTCTCGGTGTGGGCGGCGAATATCCGCTGTCTGCTACAGCTTCTTGGGAATATTTCAGACTGCAACAAGCGTTGTAAGGCCAAATCCAAGGTCCCGCAGCGTTCCAGTAGGCCAAAAAATGGCTCATAGGGAAGGAAGGGATGAGGAAGGCTGCGACCCTGGCCAATGGCTGTAGTTTCGCATAAACTTCAAAACCCAATCTAAGACCATAGACTCATAGACCTAGACACAACGTTGCAAGCGAGGGCTGTCTTCTTGCAAACTTCAGGTTTCCGCTGAAGCAGTGGGAGATGCGAGTGGCACCCAAGCTGCAGAGAGATGCACGAGATGCAGCTACAATAGTTGTTGCAACACAGGTAACCGCTAGCCGCCGCTAGCCGCCGCTAGCCGCCGCTAGCCGCTACGTTTGTTACTCAAACGGAATGATTTGATCTCCGATGCGTGGACCGCTTGAAGGTCGTGGCCAGATAATGACCTTGGTCCTGTCCATGCAGGCGAGGATACTTGCTCCGTGCTGAATGTCTTTGTTTTCTGCCAGTGTCAGAAAGCGCTAGATTTACAGAGGTTTACTATTCTTGCCATTCTTCTGCATTTTTTCCCTGTTCACCTTTGGTACCTCGAGTGGAACGAGCTGAACGAACCGGACCCCGAGTCGTTGGGTGCAGGGATTGGGGATGTTGCTGGCTTCCCTTCTTGCCATGTTTCTGGTCACTGTGGGGCTTTCCCTGGAGGCAAGTCCACCCGCGAGCCGCGGAAAACCAAAAACACAGTCTAGACAAAGAAGAAGGTGTTTCAGTCTACACTGTCTACACAAAGAAACACAGAAAAGTATAGAACGAGAAAGACACAGAAGGAAATTGATGAGATTCTTGCGGTTTTTCAGTGTGTTTCAGACAGCTTGGACCCATTGAGTTTGCCAGGCTACCTGGCGACTGCTGCTTGCGTTTGGATCTTTTCCATCTGCCATTGCATTTTGTCGCTGGGAAAGCATTGATTCAACGGTTGATCGAGTTTGTGCAGTTTTTCTGCATTTTTGTCGCTCCAAGGCCTACGGTGGCATTTGAGTGAATCAGAAGCCTTTGAGAGATGCAAGAGCGCTGAGGTCCAGAATTTTAGCACTCCAATTCTCAACATTTTGTCGAGATGATTTTGGTGTCAGCTAGTCTCCTCATTTTTTGTGCAGGTACTTTGTGAGCGGAGTCATAGCCAGAAAGTGGTGACAACGCTGGCTTCCTGTTGGCCTTTGTTGGCAGGGACCTCCAGCGCATGGCTTTTAATGAACATGCTACTTGGCGGACCTTGTAGAGACAGAGAGAGTGAGAGAGAGAGAGAGATAGAGTGAATCGTGAATCCAAGTTTTTTTTGTCCACATTCTTATTTAACCCCTGTTGTGCATTCAGGTTTACTTACAGCCTGGGTTCTTTCAAGAGCAGCATTTTTGAGACGGCCCAGTCCTCTGCAGCAGATGAAGTATCTTGGCGACAATTTTGATGAACGAGAATGGACATTGCAGAAACATGAATCAGAAAATCCTTTTTCAATTTAGGACATGTTGTGAAAGTGAAAGTTGAGATATGACACAAAAAATCTCTTTTAGGTCTTCCAGCAGGCACTCTTTGCTGCCCTTACGACTCTTGGATGAAGGTTGGCAGCCATCGCTACTAGGTTGGAGGCCATCGCTACTAGGGTGGAGGCCATCGCTATTAGGGTGGGGGCCATCGCTATTAGGGTGGAGGCCATCGCTATTGGGGTGGAGGCCATCGCTATTAGGGTGGGGGCCATCGCTATTAGGTTAGACTCTAACCGCGAGCAGTGCATTTGGCCCTTTGGCCCAAGGAGCTCCTTTGCAATCATGGGCTTCCTTGTGGGTTTTCAGCTGATCCGACACATGAGCCGTTTCTTGGATGCGTCAGTCCTGTTTTGACGCATATGGCCAATTTGGTAGGAAATTCTGCAGCTCAGGCTATCAGATGCAGCTCTATGGCTTCCTGGCCTTGTCGGTAGTGTTCATGGTAGTCACTCGACCAAGACAGCAAGCCGAATGCGGATGACTTTAACTGGATCTGGAAGCCCTTGAAAGCGCCCCTGTTCATGCGATGAGGTGAGTGTCTGCATGGAATTCTGGCCGAAACCTTCGCCAACGTCTCAATTGATTGTGCTAGGGCTCGTGCTGCTGGACTGCAACAGGGCAAATTGTCGCATCCACCCCTTCCCTGATTGACATCCAAACATGAGTTCAAGGTTTTTTGGTCTGAACTCTGGACCCAATCTCACGACCTACATCTTGCCAGCGGAAATTTTCCCAACATGTGCCCGGCTCTTAGACATTAGTAACAAGAAGCTAGTAAGTTTAAGGCCATTACTAGCAAGAAGTTACGAACGTAACAAGAAGCTACTAGGGGCTCCTGGCCTTACTAGGAGCATTCTTACGACTTAGTAGCAGGAAGCTACGAACGTAACAAGTGCGGTGTCGACGAATTGTCTCAGGTCCGTGCGACTTGTCATGGAATTTCAGCTGCCAGTGGCAAGATTGGCGCCTTCCTGGGCACAGCTGCATTTCCGCTGGTCCAAAGATACTATGGCACCTGGACGATAGCCTGTCCGTTTTTACGGCCACTTTCTTGTTGCTCCACTCCCCTAGCATTCCCCATGTGGCAGTGTATATGCTGAGCATTCCTGAGGTATGACAGCCGTTTATGCTGCATGTGGCGCTTCGTCTGCAAGCCAGGAAATCATGCGTCTTTCAGACATTTTGCGCTCAGGCCTTGCGGCAGCCCTTGGGGTTTTGGTCACCTATTTTTTGACCCCGCGACAAGCTCCTTGGCTACAGAATGCGGACCAAGCAAGAGAACAAAGTTTTCAAGATGTTTACAGGGTTTGAAGTCGAGGTTTTGGAGCTGGAGACGCTAGACAAAGAGCCGCTTTGACAGCGCCGAGAAAAATGGCGCATCTCTACAGCTCTAGAGCCAGCCGCTTTGCCTTGCAAATGTTCGGAGGTGTTCAAAAAGGCAAACCATTGTTCAGGACTCGAGCCATGGAAACCTTTTCAACACTGCAAGCCGAGCTGCCTGGATTGAACCAAGCCAAGCTGCCTTTTCGTTGTCTAACAATTTAGTGCTTTCGTTGTCTGGTCGCCAGCCGCAACCGGAGCTTTGGTGGGCGAGCCTGCCTTAATTGGGGAGAAAGTGTGGCGCCACACTGCCCTGTCAGTCCCTCAGGGCCGAAAGGAACGGAAAAACCAGCCGTAAAGAGCCGTAAAGAGCCGTGGCCGCGATGGCCTCCAACCTAAGAGCCGTCGAGCCGTGAAAGCGCTGCAAGCACATAGTTTGGCGTTTGTGGGGGTGCTTTTGGAATACACATGTGACAAAACGTACAAGATCTACTAGCGTCCAAGACACGTGTAAAGGCAGTAGACCAGGCCAAGTATTGTGTGCAGAAGCTGACCATGTACCTAAAGCAGCCTTTGCAGGAGCCTGCTATTCTTTTTGTCAACTCAAGCGTTCAGACTGCAAAAAGCAGCACAGGCCAGAGACAACTCGGGGCGTATCGAGTAAGCTTTTCAACAAGTCCTTTGGACCACGGCGAGAATGGGTGCAAAGCTATGCCTCCACCCAGGTTATGCATGCTTGCCATTTCAGAGCATAGAATTGAGATTTGGTACGATTTATATGCACACGGTGTCAGGTACATATTCTTGGATGACTTTATCCAATTGCCTGAAAAACATAAGAAGGATATACAGCCAGCTCTCGTTGACACGAATGCCGGGAGCTGCTAGTAGCTTCTTGCTCCTAGTAGCGATGCCCTTTGTTACTAGTATCTTCTTGTTCCTAGTAGTGCCAGGAGCTACTAGTAGCTACTTGTTGGTACCGGCACGTGGGATGCAAAGGCACGTAGAAGTTACTGTAGAAACCCAAAGGAAGATCTGCCGACCTACCCAGCCTACAAGCGCTTGCAAGTATCCCAATAGTGGTGCCCTCCAGGTAGGTTGAAGGGCACCCAAGAAAAACGGTTGCAAACTCAAAGAGGCGTCAGTGTGAGTCAAGTGTGCATGCACTGCATAGCTCAGATGTTCATGCTGTGTCATGCCTTCCTGTTCAAGGCATCCCTTTTGGGTCTTTCCGTGACCTACTAGCGATGGCCTCCAACCTACCCAGAATGAGATGATGGATTGAGTATGAGGGCAATATTTTTAGGCTCCTGAGGATGGATTGCAGTCTGCATGGGATGCTCCGCATCAACTATGGAGCTGCAGACAGGGCATGGCCAGCAACAGCCATTTTGATCAATTTTGTACCAGTTTCTTGTGAGTTTATTGTGGTTTCAATTCCGATGCAAAGTAGTTTACGAGTCAACAAGCCTTACATCGTGATACATTGGTTCCAGAATTACTCATGTCAGTTGGCCTCAAAGCCTCATTGTGCTTTGCACCTCCTTGGCGGGATGTGCGCCACAATATCTTTTTGCGTTTGACTCCCGTTTCACCCAATGCAGAAACATATTCATTCAACTTGACCCCATGAAGTGAATATCGACATACAGGGACACATTCAACCTACTTGAACTAGCAATCGCCTCCAATCCAACCTACTAGCGATTGCCTCCAACCTACTTGCGATGGCCAATCCACTTGCGAAGGCCTCCAACCTACTTGCGATCGCTTCCTTTCAATAGTGAGGACGGCAAGACCTCCCTTTCGTGACAACAGTGCCAACGTGTGACAACACATACAAAGGTATCACATGTGCGACCATGTATCGTTGGCAGATGCGCAGATGCAAAGGACATGCGTGGCTCAGCCTCAAAAGTCCTTTAACGGACAACCGCTTTGCAAATGCCAGTCACCAGTCAGTGCAACAACTTGATACACAATAGATCCTACCGTGAATGACACCATGAGAGCAACTATACGTCAAGTATTAAAGGTTCACTCATGCAGCCTGGTTTGACAGCTAGTTGTTTCGAGCAGCTTTGTCCTGAAAAAATCACAAGCTTTGTCCTGAGGTGTTTGAAGGATTGTGAGTTTCTTGTGCCCAGCTCCAAGAATTTTGGTACTTTGCCGATCGAATTCACACATTTGAAATATTTTTCAAGGATTGACGGAACGATCTTCAAGCAAGTGCTGGCTTCGTGCGCCCCTTGATAGCGACACTGAAGCATTTGATAGCTGCTTGATGTCAGGGTTCGTGAGACACAGCGCTTCTTTGATCTCTACTTGCCGGGCATCCGAATCATTCCCAAGAAGGATCGGAAAAGGCAAGGATGATTTATGTCACCCAGTTTGGAGTCAGAGAAGGGCGAAAGATAGGCATTTTCAACAAAGGGTCTAGATGTGGAGCTATCTACTCTGTGGTGGGGATTTCCAACCGACTGGAGGCCACATCCTATGGAGTACTGGAAACAGGACGCTCGGCTACAGAATGGGCAGCAGATTTTCTAAGAGTTTCTTGGCACAACCCTTCTTGGGTTTGGATTTTCATTGCTTTCCAAGGAACACTTACCACAAGGGCACGCACCCAAGTTGTTTAGTTGGTGTCCCTTGTGGTGCCTTCATAAATGCAAGAAACGTTTGTCAAAATCAGGGAGTCCATATTGGAAGAAGGCAGCGAGCCGTAGGAAGCCTAGTCACCCTAGTTGTGCGAACATTTCTCGTGAAGATTAGAGATAGCCCTCGTCAGGATGGAGCCTCTAGTGTTCATGGTCCTCAAAGGAAAGTTGGAACTCAAGAGGAACAGGCAGGAGACACCGCTGCATTCAAAGTTCTTTCAGTGCAACTAGGAGTCGAACCAGAAGAGATAATATTGAGCTGTATATAGCATACACATGAAAATCCGTGTCATGAGCAGCTGGTTACCAATCACGTATTGCCACGAGGCATCTCTGAAGCTAGGAAAAGTGCGGACGCGGGATTAGGTTAGGGGGCCATTGGGCCCATTTGGTAGCGGAGCCCTGGTTGCATACGCATACGAAAGCGTTCCAGGACCCGTAGGTGTACACCCTTGGGTTTGGTTGGGCACCTGAAGCAATGTCATAGATCCATGGCATCGACCGAGAAGGCCAAATGCAAGCTTCCACTGGATGCTGACGCGTTACTTGTTGGCAGAATGCCAGAAAGAAGTCTCCGAGTGGCCAGGTGCATAAGTGGAAAGTATTTGTCGAGTCTCTGTCCGAAGCACGTGGGTATGTCTGAATGTTTAGGCCTTGCGGCAGATCAGACACCAGTTTTTTGAGGCAAAGAAACAGGACGAGGATCTTTTGAGTTCAAGGTAGCTACTCTATTGAACGTCCGGTGGCTGACGGGACGTTAAACCGGAAGCTTCCTTTTCCTGCCTTCTAGTCTCGTCCATGTGACCGTGTGCGCCTGTGAAATACTGAGACAAGCAGTTGTTGCCGAGCTGTGTGGAAAATGTTGGCAGTTTTGATCTAGCTTCAATAATGTTGCGCACCGAAGCAAACATTTTTTTAGATCAAAGTGAAGCTCTTGCCTCTGGGCGTGGTGGCGACCCCCAATGGCCAGTGGACATTAGCTGGGTCGACGGTGTCGGCTAAGACCTTGGCGGGCAAGACAGCGTGGTACCATTTGAAGAGGCTTGTGTTGAGGTGAAGGGATTCAAAATCGCTGCAGGAGCCTTTGAAATCTGACCGTCCAGCAGGTGATGGTCTCTTTAGTAACTGCTTGCTTGAGTTCCAGGGCCAGGACCGATCAAGAAGGTGCAATGGCAGCCAAAATACGGGAAATTATGGCTGCAGGGCAAGAGAATGATTTGGCACACTGACAGTGCACGGTCGTACAAGGCTCGACTTCCTCGTGTTCCGCACGATTCTGTGGTTGGCCAGAAGAAGCGAGTCAAGCAAGGCAACAAGTATGTCTGGAATAATCCCACTTATGTCAAAATCACCACGCAAGCTTCCAGATGGGACAAAATTAAGGTCAAGGCAGGACCCAGATCATCGACCGAGCCTGGAAGTTCATTAAGGGGCGGCTTGAGATGAACCAGAAAACAAAAGTACGCCTCAACTTTGCTCTTCTGATTGCAAGAATGTGATCTGCTCAATACGAGTACTGGCGCCGCGGTCATGACATGTGGGTAGGCAGAGGTAGCCTCATGTCCTGGTGCATGGGCAACATTGTTCCGGCACCATAATAAGCGGCGAATAAATTCCGATTCAGAAACTACGATTCAGAAACTACGCCTGCGAAACCACGATTCAGAAACTACGATTCTGAAACTACGCCACCGAAACTACGATTTGAAAAAGCACATCAAACACAGGCCCACAGAAGCGTAAGCAAATTCAACACGAACACGGCAAACGCCTCATCATGCGGATCTTAGGAGGGGTTGGGGGGGGTGGGGGGGTACGAGGGAATATTAGTGCCACGGAGTGAGGGGGGTGATAATGACGTGAGGGTGAAAAGGTTTCCCCGTGTCGCTTTCAGCTGCAAGGGTGCGGTGTGGCCATTTCATTAGCTTTTCTTTGGCTCCTTCTTGGGGTAACCGCTATAGTTGCCGAATCAGACGGTAGTTTCCGAATCCGGTCGTTGTTTCCGAATCGTAGTTTCCGAATCGTCGTTTCCGAATCAGCTATTACTCGTAGTTTCGGAATCATAGTTTCCCAATCATAGTTTCCCAATTTTTAAGGGTAGTTTCCGAATCATAGTTTCCGAATCATAGTTTATGAACCCGTCCTTGACCATAAGCGGCCGGCACTCGAAAAAACAGGCATCTCCACAACAATGCTGCAACATCTTTGTTTTCTTGTCCAATATTTGTCCTGCAGTTTCTGTTTCATTTGTTTACTTGCACCTATCAAACTGTTTTTATCACAGTTACATCGTCCACACCCATCTGCATTTGTCAAAAACACAAAGCAGGTAGATCTTGGAGGGAGGTAGCATATTTATGGAAGGTTCACGACGTGTGACAATTTCATTAATTCTTCTGAAGGTACTCTGGCTCCAATCTAGCGTACGTGCTTGCCATGAAGCCGTTGAGAGGCACTTGTTTGGGGCGCTTGCTGTGTGTGTCCGTTGGCGGCTTTTGTTTGGCAGGTCGCCCGGTGAGAATGACCACCAAGGAGAAAGTTTTCTTCCGTGGCCGAGGTGTTGTAGTCAGATGTCCACGCCAAAGGGTCTTTTTGCCAATGAA